GTGGCATTCAGGCACCTGCACTCACACACAATTATACGTACATATACACACAAACATAAAGAAATAAAAAATTTAAAAGCGATAGAAGAGCTCAGCAGTTAAATTAGTACTGGCTGCTCTTCCAGGGAACCAGGGTTCTGTTCCCAGCATCCACATGGTGGCTAATACCCATCCTTAACTCCAGTTATAGGGGATCCAATGCCCTCTTCTGGCCTCTGAGGGCACCAGCCACATGGTATACATACATACATGGAGACAAAACACTCATACATATAAAATAAAAATAAATATTTTTTTAAAAGTAATGGAGATGTAGAGCACTTGTCTGACATATGCGAGCCCTAAGTTCAATCCCCAGTACCACAAATAAATCACACACACACGCACACACACGCACACACACACACACACACACACACACACACACAAATATTAAATTTTAAAGAATTAATCAAAACATTTTGAGCGTTTTTTTTTTTTTGAGACAGGGTCTTCCTGTAGCCCAAGCTGGCTTGGAACTCACTATGTAGACCAGGCTGTCCTCAAACTCACAGAGATCCCCCTGCCTCTGCCTCCCGAGTGCAGGGATTAAAGGTTTTGGCTGCCAAGCCCAGCTTGTTTATATTTTTTTACAGTTTGGTGTTTTGAGACAAGGTCTCATGCAGCTAAAGCTGGCTTTGAACTCCTGATCCTCTTGCCTTTACCTCCTAAGTGCTGGGATTATGGGTGTCAACCACCATGCCCTAGTCCCTTTTTGTTTACATATTAGTATAGCAATAGTATTCCATTGACTTTTCATTACTAAAATGCAGAATTTCAGTTACCTATGCAGGCTTAGGCAGACTTGTCCAGCCTGAAAATTTAACTTCTGTTAAAACATTGAATTTAATATTCCATTAAAAACACAAATGAGGGCACTGGGGATGTACCCTAATTTGTTAAGAGTGCCTGCCTTGCATGCATGGAGCTCTGGGTTTGAGCCCCAGTCCTGCATAAAGTTGGCATGATAACAGATATCACAATTGCCTGTAACTCCAACTACTGGAGATATGATGTCCTCTTCTGGCTTCTGTAGGTAAACCACCGCCCCATTCACATAACCTAACCCTAACCCCATTCACATAAATAAAAGTAAAACCTTTTTTAAAAAAATTTAATTTATTATTTTTGTTTTATGTGTATGCGTGTATTACCTGCATGTAGGTAAGTGCCCTTGTGTCGTGCAATGCCCGTGGAAGTCAGAAGAGGCTGTTGGATCCCCTAGGACTGGAGTTATCGACAGTTGTTAGCTGCCATGTGAATGCTGGATTTTTTTTTTTTAATTTTGAGCCAGGATCTCATGTAGCCCAGGCTGGCTTCAAAATTGACATGTAGGGGATGCTAATTTTGAACTCTGTATTCTCTGCCCCACCCCCATGCTCTGGGATTATGTTATATGCCACTATGATTGGCTTGGAAAAGGTCTTAGTAATTATTTATTGCTATGTTTTGTGAGACAGGGTCTCCCTGTAGCCCCAGCTTGGAACTTACAGAGACCACCTGCCTCTGTCTCCCAGGTGCTGGGATTAAAGGTGTGCGCCACCATGTCCGGCTAGTAATTATTTCTTAATCTTCTATTAGATAAGGAAAACTTGAACTCTGGAGAACTTTAAAAATGAGAACAACCAGTGTTCTTAACCGCTGAGCCATCTCTCCAGCCCCAAAAGTAAAACCTTAACTAAGCCCTATGTGGTGGCCCACACCTTCAATCCCAGCACTTGGGAGGCAGAGGCAGGAGGATCTCTGTGAGATGGAAGCCAGCTTGTTCTACCTAGCAAGTTCCAAGCCAGCTAGGGCTACAGGGAGATCCTACCTCAAAAAGACCAAAAAGGGGGCTGAAGAGATGGCTCAGTGGTTAAGAACACTGGCTGCTCTTGTGGAAGACTGGGTTCGAATCCCAGCACCCATATGGCAGCTAAAACCATCTGTAACTCCAGTTCCAGGGGATCCAAGACCCTCGTCTGTCCTCTGTGGGCATTGCACGACACAGGTGCATTTATATATATACATACTCATACACATAAAAAAAGATTTTAAAGAAGTTAAAACAAAAACAGAGCACAATGAAGTGGTACAGTATGACTTTCAACCTGTTATTAAGGTAAAAAAGCAAAGTGGTTTCCAAACACCATTCCCCACAAAAAAGAACCAGCAATGGCTATCAGGTCCAGGACAAGAGAGAAAGCCTGGAACATCTTGTGCCAAAAAGCAATGAAACTCTTAAAGACAAACAGTCATATTAAAAGGACACAGGATCTAGAGTGATTTCCACTAGATAAATTTGTGATGACTGGAGCATCAAAATGACATTAGTGCTGTGCTAGCCTATAAAACATTAAAGTAAAACACAAGGAAGGTAGTAAGCAATGGGTAAGTATTTTACTGAATAAGTTTGGTCAGTAAGTATAGAAACAACTTAAGAATTAGAAGCTGGGTGTGGTAGCACATGTTTTTAATTCCAGCACTCAGCAGGCAGTGGTAGGCAGATCTAGGCCATCCAGGGCTACAGTGAGACTCTGTCTCAAAAAAAAAAAATCAGGAAAAGCAGCCGAGAATAGTGGCACATACCTGTAATCCCAGGTCTTTGGCGGCTGAGGCAGGGGGACTGCTATGAGTTCCAGACCTACACAGTGAAGATTCTGTCTCTTACACCACCAACAAAAGAGAAAAAGCACCCTTTTATATGCACTCTTCCTGTAAAATTGACTCAGGCAATGATTACAAATAGATGCCCCAAACAAGAGGGTAAGTGTGACGAGCTACAAAATACACAATCTCAAAGGATCACCCATAGGTAATTTATTAAAGTACAAAGAGGAAGATGTACCATTGCAATGAGGGATCCAGCAGTCATTTTATGGAAGTGGTCAATTTAGCATTACCAATATTTGAACAATCTAATACTGTGCCTTCTGATGGCTAGTAAAACACAAAACCCAAATCAATTTGAAGAAACATTGAGGCATAGTCAGAATGTGGAACGTATTCAAGAAAACTTCCCCTTGTAGTTCTAAAAAGGCAGGTAGATTTTGGACTAAACAGAGACAAGTATAATGCAGGGCTGACCTTGGTAGCAAAGGCCTATAATCTCAGTTACTTGGGAAGCTGAGGCAAGAGGATGGAGAGTTCAACCTGTTTGGGTTAGAGTGTGTTCAAGGCCAGCCTAGGTAACTCAGGGAGACTGTTTCAAACAAACAAACAAACCGCCCCCCTGCAATAAGAACAACGAAACACAGACACAAATGCAAAGCAGGAACTGTCACTAAATCCTAGGTTTAGAAACATGTAAGATGCTCCAATTAGGACAACTAAGTGTATGTTAAACAACACTGACTTTATAAAGTCATGATGATAGTGGTACTGTGGTTAAGACACACCACACACACTTAAACACACATATCGTGGCTCACAAGTTTATTTTATCCCCTATGGTGGTGCATGTCTTTAATCTCAGCATTTGGAGGCAGAGGCAGGTGACTCTAAGTGAGTTCAAGGCCAGCCTAGTTTACATAGTGAGAGCCCCGTCTAAAAAATAAAAAAGTCAGGGCTGGAGAGATGGCTCAGCAGTTTAAAGAGCACTTACAGCCCTCAGAGGATGAGGGTTCGGTTACCAGCAGACATATGGTGACTAACAACCCTGGATAACTCCAGTTCCAGGGTATCTGACATCCTCTTCTGACCTCCTTTGGCATTGCAAGCATAGGTATACTTACATACATACATACATACATACATACATACATACATACATACATAAATAAGAAAATTTTTAAAGTCTATTTTTAGAAGTGAAGAACCAGGGGGTGGGAGGGTTGGGGATGGTGTCACAGGCCTTTAATTCCAGCACTGCTCAGGAGGCAGAGAAAGGTAGAGGAAGGCAATTTCTGAGTTCAGCGAGTTCTAGGCCAGCTGGGGCTACAGGAGACCCCCCCCAAAAAAAGTGAAGAACCAAGATGTCTGTAACCATTAGATTTAAAAATATATATATTTGAAATTTTAAAATATTTTACTTATTATTTTTATTTTATGTGTGAGTGTATAGCCTGCATGTATGTGAGTGCACCCTTGCCGTGCAATGCCGCGGAGGTCAGAAGAGGGTGTCGGATTCTCCTGGAACTGGAGTTAAGGACGGTTCATAGCCATCATGTGGGTGCTTGGGTGCTGGGAATCGAACCCAGGTCCTCTGCAAAAGCAGTTAGTGCTCTTAACCGCTGAGCCATCTCTCCAGCCGCCCCCCCCCCGCCCCCCGCTTTTTTTTTTATTTTTTTGCTGGGATTAAAGGCCTGCGCCACCACGCCTAGCTCTTAAAATGATTTTTAAGGGGGCTGGAGAGATGCCTCAGTGGTTAAGAACACTGGATGTTCTTGCAGAAGACCAGGGTTCAAATCTCAGCACCCACATGGCGGCTAACAACTGTCCATAACTCCAGTTCCAAGGGATTCAATGGCCTCTTCTGTCCTCCACAGGCATTGCACGACACGGATGCACTTACATATATGCAGGCAATACATGCATACACATAAAATAAAAATACTAAAATATATTTTTTTAAGATTTTTAAGTTCAGTACTGGGGATTTGAATGTAGGGACTCATGCTTGGAAGCACTCTTAACACTGAGCTACATTCCCCCCTTCCCCATTTTTTTGTGGCTCCTGGGATTAAATTTTGCCCATACGCGCTCTGGGAAAAAAAAAAAAAGCACTAACAGTTGCGAATCTCGATGATGTGTCAGCTGCTCGTTTTATTAATCTTTTCCTAAAAAATAACTAGTAATCAATCGTACCTTTGGTACATTTCACACCAAGGTTCCTTTTCAGATCCACACAAACCGGAAGAACCTGTTTTAATCCTTACTTCCGTGTATTGTAGCGTGGTGACTTGCGGTTTCCAAGGGGCAGATCCCGTGACACCAGTACTTCCCTCTGATTGGAGAAAAATCCGTAGCTCTCACCCCGGCAGCCAGCAGGTTCCCGGGCAGCCAGTGGGCGGGAATGAACATGGTCTTCGACCAACTGCTTTCTGCTAGCTGGCCTCCTGATGTCTCAAGGTCCAACCGAAAGCGGTTTCGTAAAGTAAGGCTCCGGATTCTTACTTTCCCGTAGGACATCCGGTCTTTATCTTTTTGTTTTCTCAACTTCCGGTAAGATCGGGTAGGGTCAGGGAGTTCCTTAGGTTACTTTTATGCAACTGACGTATTTATTTCCGGTCCATGGGTCCAGGCTGGGCTGTGCCATTGTCCTCAGACGTTACCAGCAGGTCTCCCGCGTAATGTCGGACACAGACAGCGACGAAGATTCTGCTGTAGGAGGACCGTTTTCTCTAGCCGGGTTCCTGTTCGGCAACATCAATGGAGCTGGGCAGCTGGAAGGGGAAAGCGTCTTGGATGATGTGAGGCGTGGGCGAAGGGCTGGAGGCGGAGGGTGGCGTGGCTAGGGACAGGAGGGGAGATGCGGGACGGCTTAGGAAACGTTCTAAGGGGGCGGAGGGAGGCGACCGTGGTGGGACGACCATCATTACCCTTTCGGAGCGGGGGTGGCACTGTTACCACCCTCTGTGGGGGCACAGAGAAAGCCTTCAGCGTGGGTTTGTGGAGAGTGGTAGGGCTCAGTACTGGAAAAGCAAGAAGAGAAAAGGAAAATGGTTTTAAGTACCAGTCACGGCCGTGGACAGGTTTGGCTTTTGGGTATAAAGTTCTACTTGGTCCGTTGGAAAAATAACAGTTAAACCAAATGAGATTTTCCGGTTACTCCCGAAGGATTCTGGGACCTCCGCATTTCTGGCATCTCTGATCTCACATGGCTTTAGAGCCAGAGTACTGAACGGGATTTTTAGTCTTTTGGTTCTGGCCCCAGAGAGGTACACTGTGTAGTTAACTGATGGTCACGCAGTTGTCCGCGCCTCTCAATCCCTGGGATTACTAGGCCTGAGCCTTACCTATTTTTATTTCTGTTCATTTTCTCACGGAATAAAATATTGACCAATGTTCCCTCTCACCTATACCGTGTACATAGAAAAGATAGCAAAAAAGACCAGCCTTGCTTTCTCTAATCAGGGTGATTTCAGTTACTTTAGCCTTTTTTTTCAAATGTATATGCGTGTATTGCCTGCATGTAGGTAAGTGCGTGCAATGCCGGCGGAGGTCAGAAGAGGCTGTCGGATCCCCTGGGACTGGAGTTGCAGACAGTTGTTAGCTGCCCTGTGGGTCCTGGGATTCGAACCCAGGTCTTCTACAAGAACAACCAGTGTTCTTAACCGCTGAGCCATCTCTCCAGCCCCTACTTTAGTTTTTTTATTCAGAGAACTATGCCTTTCTATTGATTTGATCTTGGTGGGTATTTGAGTAACTTTTTCTTGAATTATTTTAAGTGTGGTCGTGAAATTGGACATGGTTCATTAGTAAAGATTTGATCAATGTGGAGTTTAGATTTACTATATATTCTTGAATGTGATGTTCATTTTAACATATTAGGGAATGATTTTTCAGATGGATTTGTGACTTTGTTTTAAATCGGGGAAATACACCTTGTGTTGGACATTCAGGTTTAGTTATTACTTTCGACTATGTTGCTGTCCCTTTTTCAGGAGTGTAAGAAGCACCTGGCAGGCTTGGGGGCTTTGGGTCTGGGCAGCCTGATCACTGAACTCACGGCAAATGAAGAATTGACGGGGACTGATTGTTCCTTGATAAATGATGAAGGTGAAGTGTGGGTCATGCGGAATAAAGTGTGGGTCATGGGGAGGAAGCTAGCTACAGTACATGTACCTTTAACTGGGAATTATCTAAGGGAGTGAGTTATTAGCTTTTTCTCAATACCTCTCCCTTTTAAAAATTTTTTAAATATTTTATTATTTTTATTTTATGTATATGCATGTATTGCCTGCATGTATGTAAGTGCACCCTTGTTGTGCAATGCCCGCAGAGGACAGAAGAGGCTGCTGGATCCCCTGGAACTGGAGTTACGGACAGTTGTTAGCTGCCGTGTGGGTGCTGGGATTCAAACCTGTGTCTTCTGCAAGAACGGTGTTCTTAACCACTGAGCTATCTCTCCAGCCCTATCTCCTTTTTTATTTATAGGATGGATTAGGAGTACAGAAGATGCTGTGGACTATTCTGACATCACTGAGGTGGCAGAAGATGAAAGTCGAAGATATCAGCAGACAATGGGTAGCTTGCAACCCCTTTGTCAGTCAGGTGATTCTTAAGTATAGAATTTGTAGTGTAGTGCATTTTCTTCCTGTATAGTGTGGTTTGGGCTCTGGTTTCTATGCCTGTTCTTGTCTTATCTGTACCTTTGTTCTGCTGTTTCCTTTGTCAATTCAGTTCTACATAACAGGTATCTGTGAGGGGATGTCTTACTACACTCCGGCTTTTATTCCTAATACTGTTCAGTCTAAAATGTTAGTTAAGGCAAGGGTGATAATGCTTTCTTGTCATCTGGTATTTAAGTGCCTACAGGTTCATGATAATATTTTTAGATGCTCTTCAAAGTTAGAGAATAAAACAAACCAGTCTTTGCCTGGAAAGAATTGATAGTTTAAAAAGGATTAAGTTTACAATCTCTTATAAATGAGCACATGTATTTTGTCTCAACTTGGTCCCCTTATCACTTGCTACTTGTTCACAGCATAAGGAGTTTCCCCTGGTATGTATGGTCCTGTATTATAAGAAGTCTGTTTGTTTCTTTGAGACAGGGTCTCACTGTATAGCCCTGACTGGTCTGGAACTTGCTATGTAGACAGCTGGCCTGGAACTCATAGAGATCTGCCTGCTTTCTGGGTGCTGAGATTAAAGACTTGTAACTCCATAACCAGCTTTTTTTTTTTAATTTTGAGCCAGGATCTCATGTAGCCCAGGCTGGCCTGGAACTCATGATCCTCCTGCCTCCAGTGCCCCAGTGTTAAGATGATGGGCCTGTGCCACCACACGCTGTTTACACTGTTGAGGCTGAATCCAAGGCACACCAGGCAAGCACCGTGCCGAATGGCCCACATCCTTGGTTTCTAATCAAAACGTACACCTATCAGTAGGATTTGGGACCCGGTGCGGACCAGGTCTTATCCCCGAGCACGGCTACTACAATTCCCTCACGCAGCGAGCTGGCACAGCCACTCTCCAGAAACCACAGACCCCTGAGGGGCTGAGGCAACACCGCAGTACCTGATGCAGCGCGTGCTCGGCCACCACCGCCCTGGTCTCCACATCTCAGCTCTTCACTGTACCATCATCTGAGCTGGTGGCACAGAGATTGGACTGTCCGGGGTGATGAGAAAACGTGAAGCCAGAGACTCTCTCTGTGTCCCACCAATTCTCCTACGACTGCAAACAAAAGCAGACTCGGTTAATCAGACAGAAACGCAGATGAGTGGGTGGCACGTAACCCACGTAACCCAACATACTATGAACTTTTGGGTTTTTTGATTTTTGTTGTTGTTGTTTTTTGAGACAGGGTCTCCCTGTAGCCCCAGATGATCTGGAACTTGCTATGTAGACCAGGCTGGCCTAGAACTCAGAGAGATCAGTCTGCCTCTGCCTCCCTAGTGATGGGTCTAAAGGGGTATGCCACCATGCCTGGCTAAAGATGGAACTTTGCAAAGTTCTGCAGTTAGAAAACCTGATATGTGTGATAAAGTTTGATAGGTAATATGGTGCTATAAGGCAATAAAGTTCATTTTCCAACTTTAGAGTTTAGTGGTCTGGAATCTAGAACTATTGACTATAGTTTATTCTTTGAATTGCTCTGTGGTACCTTACTGCTCAAAACTTAAATGAAGTTGTTTATTGTTTACCTCTTCAAATTAGATTTTGGGCTGCTTGAGATATAGTTTAAAAAAAAACCCTTTATAAATACTTGAAATTAGTTCAGAGCATGATGATACAAGCCTTAATCACAGCACTTGGGAAGTAGAGGCAAGAGGATCTAGAATATAAGGTCACCCTGGGCTGTCTGAGGCCCTGTCTCAAACAAGTAAACCCACCTTTGAACTTAGTCTTCAGGACCAGTTAATAGGTTTGAGTATCACTTCCTCTTCCTTTTCCTTCTTGCACCCTTTTGCTCAGGCTGGTCTCAAACTTGGGGGGTGCCCAAACCATCTTTTCAGGCTCCTGAATAGCTGGGACTACAGGTATGTGCCACTTCATCTGGTAAGAGCTTTTTATATATCACATGCAGAGCTAGTAACCCTTAAGAAATAATAATTATAGGCTTCACTTTAGGCTATTATGTGGGGAACATGGAATAAACAAATGTAAAACAGTTATTTCTAGTAAGCTATAAGGCAGCAAAAAAGCTCATGCTTCTGTATAGAGTGTCATAGCTAGTTTTTATGAGTTATCAGAATTGCTAAGTCATACTGCATAGATATTATTTTTGAGGAACCTGGCTTAGGCTAAGGGCAGGTGGTACATCTCTGTTTTTCAGTGGAAGTTGCTAATTTTTTGGTCTTTTTGAGAGAGGGTCTCCCTGTAGCCCCAACTGGCCTGGAACTCACTACATAGACCAGGCTGGCCTCACTCTTTACTGAGCTCCACCTGCCTATGCCTCCTAAGTGCTGGGATTAAAGGCTTGTGCCACCATACCTACTCGGCAGAAGTTGCTATTTTTTTAGTTCTCTTGACTAGGGAAGGTTAAGAAAATGATGGCTGGGGCAGGTTCCCTACTTCTTAGTTTTATGAGTCAACTTTCTGGAAAGGGATACTGTATTTGATAGAAGACTGTCAGTACTCTGGCATACTTATTTCTAAGTTGTTGTGTTCTCCTTCACCTGTGCTGTTAGATCCATCTTCCTTGGCATTGACCCCTTCATATGGCCTGATTTTCAGATGTACTTCCTTGGAATAATTGGAAGGGGGAGGAGGTCATTAAGCAAGACTTCATGGCCATGAATTTTGAGCAAATTTTTTTTTGAGACAGGGTCTCATATATCCTAGGCTGGCCTCAGATTTTCTTTATATCCAAGGTCAAGTTCAAATTATCACCTTGAACTCCTGATCCTCCTGCCTCCACCTTGAAAGTGCTGGAATTATAGGCATGTACCACCATGCCCAGTTGAGCAAATTTTTGAAAGGAAAAACCAGGTTTAGTGGAGAAGAAACCACTTTTTGTTTTGTTTCATTTTGAGACAGGGACTTATAGAGCACAGGCTGGCCTCAAGCTTCATAGGTAGCTGAAGATGACTTGAACTGATGGTCTTCTGCCTCTGTGTCCTGAGTGCTAGGATTACAGATGTGGTGACTTAGGACATTTGGTTTAGAAACATGGCTTGTCTAAAGATTTGAGATAACGAGGAATAAGTAAATAATGTGAGATGAATTGGCCGGCAGATTGTTTTTATTTTGTTTTGTTTTGTTTTGAGACAGGGTCTCACTATGGAACCCTGACTGGCCTGGAACTCTCTGTGTTAAACCAGGCTGGCCTTGACCTCTCAGAGATCCACTACACCCAGGTCTTTTTGAGACAGGGCCTCCCTGTAGCCCCAGCTGGCCTAGAACTCGCTATGTAGACCAGGCTGTCTTCAAACTCACAGTGATCCGTCTGCTTCTGCATCTCAAGTGCTGGGAATACAGGCGTGTGCCACCATGCCTGGGAAGAACAAATTTTTATAGCTTCTTTATGTATATATTACTTGGGATTTGATGTCACAAAGAGTTGCTAGCCAACATGGATTTATTTATTTATTCATTTAATTTTTGGTCTTTTTGAGACAGGGTTAGGCTCCCAGCACCCACATGGTGGCTTAACAACCATCTATAACTCCAGTTCCAGGGTATCTGACACTCTTCCACCCTCCATGTACATTGCACAACATGGATGTAGTTACATGCATGAAGACAAAATACTCAACATAAAAAAGCACATGGCTTTAATCCCAAATGCTAGGATTAAACCCATGTGCCACCACAACCTGACATTGAATGTCTTTTGTATTTTACAATATCTCAGCAAAATATCCTTCCTGTTTATTATAAAAATACTAATTCTGGTTTGTAATTGTGTATAATGCTGGTACAATATTAAGTGTACTAAGATTAAAACCAAGGTTTCTTGCTGGGTGTGGTGGCGCACGCCTTTAGTCCCAGCACTTGGGAGGCAGGTGGATAGCTGTGAGTTCAAGGCCAGCCTGGTCTACATAGTCAGTTCAAAAAGACAAAAAAAGAAAGAAAGTTAACCAAGGTTTCTTTTTTTTTTTGAGACAGAGTCTCCCTGTAGTCTGAACTGGCCTGGAGCTCACAGAGATCCACCTGCCTCTGCCTCTGCTTTCCAAGTGCTAGAACTATAGGCGTATGCTACTACTCCTGGCCTTTTGTTTTTGTTAATTTTTTTTTAGTATTTTATTATTTTTATTTTATGTGTATGAGTGTATTGCCTGCATGTATGTGAGTGCCCTCATGTCATGCAATGTCTCGGAGGTCAGAAGAGGGCTTCAGATTCCCTGGAACTGGAGTTAAGGATGGTGGGTGCTGGGAATTGAACCCAGGTTCTCTGCAAGAGCAGTCATTGCTCTTAACCACTAAGCCATCTCTCCAGCCCCGTTTTTTGGTATTTTTGAGACAAGATCTCCTTGTAGTTCCAGCTGGCCTGGAACTCACAACAGAGATCCACCTGTTTCTGCCTTGGAGTGCTGGGATTAAAAAAGTTCTATCGCTTCTAAAATCAAAAGGTATATCTTTTCTTTTTAAAAAAATTTTTTTTTGGTCTTTTTGAGACAGGGTCTCCCCATAGCCCCAGGCTGGCTTTGAACTCTATATGCACCATCACACCCGTCTAAGTGCACCCATATTTTGCAATGACCATGGAGACCAGAGGATGGCATCTGATCCCCAAGAACTGGAGTTATGGACAGTTGTTACCCACTATGTGGGTGATAAAAACTGAACCTGGGTCCCCTACAAGAGTAGCCAGTGTTTTTAACTGCTGAGCCATCTCCAGCCCCCTTTTATGTTTTCTTAAAGGATATGCATAGTGCTTTCGTGATACTTGGAGTTCTTGACATTTGAAGGGAGATCAAGTGTATTATAAAACACTCTTAATATTGAGGTGACCACCTTGGTTTTATTAGATTATGATGAAGATGACTATGATGCTGATTGTGAAGACATTGATTGCAAGTTGATGCCTCCCCCACCTCCACCCCCAGGACCAACCAAGAAAGAGAAGGATCAAGATGGTATTACTGGTGGTGAGGAAAACCTGTCTACTTTTGTTCAAGGAGCAAGTTTCTATTCATAAGTCCAGGATTTTGACATGCTTAAGGAGCTTTTAAAAAGATTGAGCTGCTAGAAAAGATTTATAAAGTGTCAAATATTGATATTAAATGGAAATTTTCCTTTTAAAACATTCAGTGACATTATTTTAACACACACTCAAGAATTACTTTAACTCAGTGCTTCTCAAATTAAGCTGTTCATCAGAATTACCTAGAGTCTTTAAAAAATATGGATATCTGATTCTCCTGGAGCGTCAAATTCATAAGATCTGGAGTAGAGCCCAGGAATTTTTACTGAAGAGTTTCCCAAGAATTTCCTTCCTCCCTCCTTTTCTTTTTAAGATAGGGTCTTATTATGTAGCTCTGACTTAGAACTCCTTATGTAAACCAGACTGGCCCTGGAACTTGAACAATCTCCTGCTTCTGCCTTCCTCGTGCTAGGATTACACATTTAAGCCACCACATCCTGCACATCAAGACTTTCTGAAACAACTAATTTATATACTGGTATTTGGAAATTACCTGTTAGTTTGAGGCCAACCAGGACTAAATAACAAGACTGTGTCTCAAAAAATCAAACAGTAAGCCAGGTGTGATGGTGCATCCCTGTAATCCCAGCATTCTGGAGGTGGAGGCAAGAGGATATCTGTGAGTACAAGACCAACCTGGTTTATATAGCAAGTTCCAACCAAGCCAGCCCTGTCCCAAACAAAATAACAACAAACAAATGACCTTCTGGACTATGTGTAAATCATGTGGCATCATTTCTGTTCAAAGATTTTCAAGATTGGTAAGATCTTCAGTTGTCATCTTATATTCTTAGCTCTGTAACAGTGATAGTCCTGCCATAAGCTAGACATTAGGGGACATCAGCACCTTTGGTCTACTATATTTTGAAACTTTTGTTAACTTGAATTCCTCCAGTTGATGCTCTGAGCCATTTCCTTTAGTTTTCAAGCTAAATGTTACTTTGTGTGTAAAGCTTATTTTTTGTTACCCTGTGAGGTTAAAAATTCTCCATCTTACGGATCCATGATCTTGATGTGATAGGGCCTGATTAATGTATAACATAATTTTGCTATTAATCACAATATTGGGCACAGTATTTGCCACTTAAGGAAAGTAGTAAATGTAGTAATAGTGTTTATTTTCTCATCACAACCCTAGGGTACCAAGTACAAGGTGAGTTGGGGATGGTGGAAAATAATAAATTGGATGAGTTTCTGGGTTGCATACTAGTAATTTGGGTTCTGGGACTGTATCCCCTGCCACAGAATTATGCATATTAGCCTAGAGGGTGGTGTTGGCTGAATTTGAGGAAACATACTCACAATTACATGTCAAAGGGGTTTCTCTTCCTTGCTGCAGTGTCTGAAAATGGAGAAGGCATCATCTTGCCCTCCATCATTGCCCCTTCCTCTTTGGCCTCAGAGAAAGTGGACTTCAGTAGTTCCTCTGACTCAGAATCTGAGATGGGACCGCAGGAAGCAGCACAGGCAGAATCTGAGGATGGAAAGCTGACTCTACCATTGGCTGGTATTATGCAGCATGATGCAACCAAGCTGTTGCCGAGTGTCACAGAACTTTTTCCAGAATTTCGGCCTGGAAAGGTACTTTGTATGGAGAATGTCCATGATGCAAAGCACTGACCTCTTCCAGATTCTGAGTTCTGTTGTCATGATGCTGAATGTAGAATGCATAAGATTTAAGGGTGCCTTTATTCAGTGACAGATAATTAGCTGTCTGTATAAGAATTTTATTTATTTATTTTTTGAGACAGGCTTTCACTGTGTAGTCCTGGCTATCCTGTAACTCTCTGTTGGAGAATAGGCTGGCCTCAAACTCAGTAGGGATGGGCCTTCATCTGCCTCCCAAGCTCTGGGATTAAAGGCACGTGCCATCATTTCTGGCCTATATAGGAACTTTATACATTGTATTAGGTCACTTTTTGAAGTTGTATATATTTATAAGAAGTATGACTTAGGGGCTGGAGAGATGGCTTAGCAGTTAAGAACACTGACTATTCTTGCAGAAGACCCGGGTCCGAATCCCAGCACCCACATGGCAGCTGACAAGTGTCCGTAACTCCAGTCCCAAGGGATCTGACAGCCTCTTTTGACCTCTGAGGGTGTTGCATGACACAGGTGCACTTACCTACATGCAGACAATACACACATAAAATAAAATAAATAGATAAATAAAATTTTTAAAAGTGTGACTTAGACTGTTGTGGTGCACACCTTTAGTTCCAGCACTCGGGAGGTAGAGTCAGGTGAATCTCTGAGATCAAGGCCAGCCTGGCCTACATAGTGAGTTCCAGGCCAACAAGAGCTAGAACTCTAATGAGACCCTGTCTTAAAAATGCAAAAAAACCCAAAATTATCCTGTGGGGCTGGTGAGATGGCTCATTGAATAGAGGTATATTCATGTAGGTCTGACGATCTGACTTCAATCCCTTTTTCCCACAAGGTGGCGAGAGACAACCAAATTATGAAAGTTGTCCTCTGACCTTATGCTGTGGTATGTATCCACACACATATACACACACACACACACACACACACACACACACACACAAGCACACATATTAAATAAGTAAGTAAGTAAATAAATAAATAAATAGTCCTGGTAGAGAAAAAGGTAAACCAAGCCTGGTGGCGTAGACTACTATAATCCCAGATGCTAGGGAAGCTAAGGCAAAAGGATCACAAGTTCAAGGCTTGCCTAGGCTACAGAGTGAGTTCAAGGGCAACCTAGGCAGCTTAGTGAAAATCTTTCTCAAAAAGCCAAGGAATGTAGCTCAATGATAAGAGTGCTTGCCTAGTATGGACAAATTCCCCCTCACCCTTAAAAAAGAAAGAAAAGAAATTTTCCTGTTGTCTTTATTTTTTATTTTTTGGTCTTTTTTTGAGACAGGGTCTCCCTGTAGCCCCAGCTGACCTGGAACTCACTATATAGACTAGGTTGGCCTTGAACTCACAGAGATTTGCTTGCCTCTGCCTCCCGAGTGCTGGGACTAAAGGCATGTGCTACCATGCCCCGCCGTATTTTTTTTTTTTAAGACAGGGTCTCATTGGTCTGGAACTCGCTACATAGGTGAAGCTGACTTTGAAATCACAGAGCTCTGCCTGCTGTCTGTCTTCTGAATGCTGGGATTAAAGGCGTGATCCACTACAGCTGTTCTGCCCTGTTGTCTTTAAAGAACTGTTCCAGGGACTGGAGAAATGACTTTGTGGTTAAGAGTGCTTACTGCTGTTGCAAAGAGCTGAGATTTGGTTCCTAGCACCCACTTCAGGAGGCTCACAACCACCTCTAACTCTAGTTCCAGGGGGTCCCATGCCCTCTGGCTTCCATGGGCACATTAACTCATATAAGTACACAAACATGCACATAAAAAAAGTAAACATTTCTTACAAGTTCCAAATTACTAAAGGACAATGCTTTTGTGGTCTGAGCTTAGCATTCCTTCATTTTCCCCCTGCAGTTAAATAGATCACTTGAGAATATTTCACACATTGAATCTCTGACATAGTAATGTGCTCTGTGTTCTAGGTGTTACGGTTTTTACGTCTTTTTGGACCTGGGAAGAATGTCCCATCTGTTTGGAGGAGTGCTCGGAGAAAGAGGAAAAAGAAGCACCGTGAACTTGTACCGGAAGAGCAGATCCAGGAAGTGGAGTGCTCAGTAGAATTAGAAGTCAGCCAGAAATCTTTGTGGAACTATGACTACGCTCCGCCACCTCCTCCAGAGCAGTGTCTCTCTGATGACGAAGTAGGCAAAATAGACTTGGGATTAAAGCCTGCAAGGGAGGGGGGCATGTAGAAGTTAGAACTAACACCTTAGCATTAAGAGTTCTGTTCTATCACTTGGCCAGTTGGGGGCACTGTTTGGGGAGGGTCATGGGACCTTTAGAAGGTGTGGACATGCTGAAGAAAGGTCCCTGGAGGTTGGCTTTGAGAGGTCATAGTCTTGTCCCATTTCCAGCTTTCTCTCTCTCTCTCTCTCTCTCTCTCTCTCTCTCTCTCTCTCTCATGGTTGAAGATGTGAGCACTCAGCTTTCTGCTCTGGCTGCCTCCTGTCATGTCTCCCCTGTCATGATGGACTTTAATCCCTCTGGAACCATAAGCCAGCATAAACACTTCCTTCTGTTAAAAAAAAAAAAAAAGCCAGGCATGGTAGTGCACGCCTTTAATCCCAGCACTCGGGAGGCAGAGGCAGGTGGATCTTTGTGAGTTCAAGGCCAGCCTAGTCTACATAGTGAGTTCCAGGACAGCTGGGGCTACAGAGAGACCCTGTCTCAAAAAGACCAAAAAAAGAGACCTCTAGGGGCTGGAGAGATGGCCTAGCAGTTAAAAACACTGGTTGTTCTTGTAGAAGACCCGGGTTTGAATCCCAGCACCCACATGGCAGCTAACAACTGTCCATAACTCCAGTTCCAGGGGATCCGATGGCCTTTTCTGTCCTCCTCGGGCATTGCACGACACGTGTGTGCTTACCTACATGTAGGCAATGCATGCATACACATAAAATAAAAAAAATAAAGACCTGTGTTCTAATTATCAGTGAATAAGTTAAATGCAGTGCCCCGCCTTCCCTATTGTAAAGAAAAGTATTTGATGGGTAAAAACAGAGCAGATGGTGATCCATTGCTAAATAGAAGGGTATGATGAAGGACAGACATGCCATATATGTTATACCTCCATTTTTTAGGAATCATCCTTGTGGTTCCTCTAAATCCTTTTATGATTATTAATTCCCTGTAGTCATCTAGACAGATTCCTAGGACACTTGGAATAGGGAAGCCCCCACTTCTTTACTCTGTTTCAGATCACAATGATGGCTCCTGTGGAGTCCAAATTTTCCCAGTCAACTGGAGATACAGATAAAGTGATGGACAACAAACCAAGAGTGGCTGAGTGGCGTTATGGACCTGCTCGACTGTGGTATGATATGCTCGGTGTCCCTGAAGATGGCAGTGGGTTTGACTATGGCTTCAAAATGAGGAAGACTGAACATGAGCCTGTGACAAAATGCAAAACGATAAAGGTAAGCATCTCTGGTGTGTAAGAAAGGAATTAATGTGTTTAGAGCCCTGTCACTAAATTTTCAGCTAGGGAGATCCTGAGTAAGGTTTCTTTAGTAGGAAATTTGCTTAGTAGGGTATATCATCCTATAACTAGGCCCCATTCTAAGGATTCTGCTTGTGAAATGAGTGCTGTTCCAAACTAGGATTGGGAGAGGAGGCAGATACTCATTTTCAGGTAATTTGCTCAAGTAAAGCATCACTTTTTTTTTCTGTGTTGGGTATTGATTCCAGGTCTACATGCGTGAACTCACAGAGATCTGCCTGCCTCTGCCTCAGTCCTTGGAGTTTTGTTTTGTTTTGTTTTGTTTTGTTTGTTTTGTATTATTTTGCTTGTTTTTGGTAGTCCCAGCTGTCCTAGAACTTGATATGTATGCCAGGCTCACAGAAATCCACCTGCTTCTGCCTCAAGTGCTGGGATTAAAGGCGTGCACCACCACATCCAGCTCAGTCCTTGGATTTTTGAGACAAGGTCTATGTATTTTGGGTTGATCTCAAACTTGGGATTCTCCCCCTTTAGCCTTGAAAGTGCTAGGATTGCAGGCATGTACTACTAAGCCTGTCTAAATAACACTTAGTGTATCTCATGAATCATTTGGGATCTGAATTGGTAAACCGAGCAGTAACTGATGGATTTATTATTCCTTCCATACTTTCACAGAAATTCAGGACACTTGAGGAAAGCAATAGTGTTGATCTTCTGGCAGATGAAAATTTCCTAATGGTGACACAACTGCACTGGGAAGATGATATCATCTGGGATGGGGAGGATGTCAAACACAAAGGAACAAAACCCCAGCGTGCAAGTTTGGCAGGATGGCTTCCTTCCAGTATGACAAGGAATGCCATGGCATATAATGTTCAACAAGGTGTGCTTCTGTGTCAACAGTGTCTGGCATACTAGCCTTCATCTTAGTCATCATAAGTAGTCTTAGCTATGATCTTTTGGGCTTCTGATGGATAGTGAATTGCTTTGAATCTAATTCCTGATTCTAGTCCCTTAACAGTTTATTAATCCTATTCATAAGCCATTTTGATATTAAAGATCTTCCCTGGATTATAGCAGTGTTCTATCTTCACTTTTTGTTTTTATATAAACACTTCACTTTATATTTGTGATTTCATGATTTGCTTTGTCTCTCCTTAAGTAGGTTAAAATAAAGAATGTTGTGTTTAATGGCATAAAAACAGTGTTAGAAAAATTGCTGGTAATCTACTCAGAGATTATCAGTTATTGACTTTTTGTGTTTTCTTTTGTCTTCTATCTTCTATGTGTATATAGTTGAGTTTAATTAACTAATGTTGAGACATAGTCTTGCTCCGTAGCTGAGGGTAGCCTGGAACGCACTGTGTAGCCCAGGCTAGGTGTTTATCACCATGCCTGGCTTGAGCTCATTGTTATATGTAGTGATTTGTTTTGAAGATTTATTTATTTTTATTTTATGTTTTTGAAAGTTTTACCTACATACATTATGTGTACTATGTATGTGCAAGTGCCATTGGAGGCCAGAAGAGGTAGCAGAACTCTAGGAACTAGTTAGAAACCGTTGTGAATTGCCATATAGGTGCTGAGAACAGAACCTGGGGCCTCTGTAAGAGCAGCAAGTGCTCTTAACCACTGAGCCATTTCTCCACCCCTCCCTTCCCCCTACCTTATTTTTTTTGAGATGGTCTATTTAGCCCTCACTGATCTCGAGCTTGCTGTGTAGACCAGGCTGTGAACTCACAGACTCCCACTTGCCTCTGACTCCTGAGTGCTGTGTTATTTTTGTTTTTGGAGACAGGGTTTTGCTCATCCTGTAGCTCAGACTGCCCTCAGCCTTGTTGCAGTCTTCCTGCTGGGAGTAAAGGCATGAGCCACCACACCAGAGCTATATTATAATTTTCTCTCAGCATAAATATTTTTATGTAAGTTGGGCCTGGAGAGATGACTCAGCAGTTAAGAGCACTGGCTACTCTTGCACAGGACCCAGATTTGATTCCCAGCACCCACATGGCGGGTTACATGTTACATGGAAGTTACATGGGAGTTACAACCATCCATAACTCCAGTTCCAAGGAATCTAATGCCCTCTTCTGACCTCTTGGCCATTGCACGACACGGGTGCACCTACCTACATGCAGGCAATACTCATACACATAAAAATAATTAAAAATATTTTATGTAAGTTTTCAAAATTATCCATAAAAATGTTTACTATATTGGAAACATTCATTTATTAGATTTTTAAGGTAGAGTTTCACTATGTAACCCTGGCTGGCCTAGTACTTGCCAAGGTGGTGTTCAACTCGCAGCAATCCTTCTGCCTTAACCTCTTGAGTACTAAGATTACAGGAAATGGCAGGGAACATTTTAAAGAGAAGAAAAACAAGATATGAAACAGCGTATTTGGTATCTCATTTGTAAGGATGAAAAACAGTGAACTATGTCAAAAGCTGACTGAAAGAAAATAGTCTAAAGCATTTGCAGTACTATTTTCTGATTTCTTCAGTTTTCTTTATACCATTCTATAGTCTCCAGATTTTCTTACTTAGTCTGGATTATTTTTATAATTCAGGACCCCCCCCCAAAATGGCTAGTTTATTGAGACAGGGTCTCACTAAGTAGTCCAGGTTATGCTGGAGCTCAACATCCTCCACCTCTCTAGGGCTGGGATTATAGGTGTGTACCACCATACTCAACTCAAGAATGTCTGATTTTTAAAAAGGTTTAATTTTAATTTTTAAAATTTAAATTAATTTTTTTTTGGTTTTTGAGACAGGATCTCACTATGTATCCTTGGTTGAATTGGAACTTGCTATGTAGACCAGACTGGCCTCAAACTTCCTGAGTGTTGAGATTAAAGGCCTGAGCCATCACATCTGGTCTAGTCTATTTTTATTTCTATTTTTTAAACGTGTATATATCTGTGTGTGGGGGGGTTATGTACAGATGAATGCAGGTGCCCATATTGGCCAGAGGAGAGCATTGGATCCTCTGGAGCTGGAGTTATAGGCAATTGTGAGCTGTCTGATGTGGGTGCTGGGAGTCAAGCTTGGGTCCTCTATAAGAACAGGAAGTGTTCTAACTGCTTAGCCATCCCTCCAGCTCAAAGAATATCTAATTTTTTAAATCTTGGAAAAGGTTTTTCTCTTCTGTACAGTTTAAATACTTTATTGGTTGCATAGTTTTGTTTTTGTTTTTTGAGATGGTCTCATTATGTATCCCTGACTGGCCTAGAACTCACTGTGTAGGTAGACCAGGCTGACCTTGAATTCATAAAGATCCTCCTGTCTCTGTCTCTGGAGTACTGGGACTAAAGGGATGTACCACTATACCTGACTTGCCTAATATTTTTGAGATAAGCTCCTACTATTTAGTCAGTTTGGCCTCGGGCTTGCAATCTTCCCGTCTCAGCCTCCTGAGTGCATAGTATCCATTATTTATTATTTTTATTTTATTTATTTGGTATTTTTGAGACAGGGTCTCCCTGTAGCCCCAGCTGGCCTGAAACTCCCTATGTAGACCAGGCTGGACTTGAACTCACAGAGATCCGCCTGCCTCTGCCTCCCAAGTGCTGGGATTAAAAGCGTGAGTACCCATTATTTTATGCATAATGTTCTTAGAATAATTGCTATATTTGTTACTAATAGTGTATTACCAGTATTTATAGCCGTATTTATTTAGCCATTGCCTTAGTAAGCATTTAGGCTGTTTAAGTTTTAACTTTTCTAAGCAACACTGCAGTGAACATTTTGTCAGCAGTGTTTTCTGTTAAAGTGAGAAATACATGCTATCGGGTAGGTTCCTTTTTGATAGCTGTGTGAATACCTGTACTAGCATTTGTTCTTTTTCTGTTTGTGAGAAACATGATTGAAAGGAACATAAATGCTTTGTCTGTTACTGGTTTTTTAAAAATGATTTACTGAGAATTTCATACAGGCATATAAGCATATAAGGTGTTTTGATCAAATCCATGCCCATTCCCTCTCCAACTCCTCTCATATCTCCCCATTACTTTTTTTTGATAACTTCATGTACTCTTTCTTCTCCTTCTTCCTCCTCATAACTTATTGAGAATTTCATACATGCATATAAGGTGTTTTGATCAAATCCATGCCCTCTTCCCCCTCCAACTCCTCCCATATCTCCCCATCACTTTTTTCTGATAACTTCATGTGCTCGTTCTTCTTCTTTGATTTGTTTCTTTTATGGGGCTTTTGGCTACTCTAATATTCCCACCTCTGAAGAGATAAACCTAAAATCTTTTAAGGGTTAGATAAAAGCTCCCAAATATTTTTGACATTTTTGGCCTTTGGAATGGAGTATATTGCTAAGAGGCCCAAAGACATTGTGAGTTTTAGCCAAGAAACTGGATACTTTTCTTTGGGGTCTTTTTACACTAACTGTCTAGCCAGTTCTTACCTCCTGTTCTTATCACACCATCCTCTGAAGAGGTTATGCAGCTTGCGGATAGGTAATCGGGACGCAGACACTCTGGCTTCTTCCATGCTGAACAGGGACTCAGGGTGAGGCAGTTGGGGTACCCCTTCAGTGGGTCTATCTAAAAGACTCCAAAATTGCATAACTCTTATCTCTAGGGGGAAAAGAAAGTCCTTGACTGGTGAATAGGAGATGTGAAGGAGAAGTAAAGGCAACAGTAGTTAGCATTACAAGTTCTAGACAGGCAACCAGAAAAAAATTCAGAACAGGGCAAATTTCAAATGTTCATATGAGAGTCCATTGGAATTTTTGGACAAGAGCTTCCAAAAGCATCCCTCTATTGGGTTCCTCCTCATTTTTCTTTTGTCTGCCAAGACTGGACTCCAGAGTGATGCATTCAGGATTTGCTTTCAGGCATTTTGATACCTGTTGGAGAGGTTAGAATCACTCAGTTCCCTCGCAAAGGCTTCTAGATAGGGGAAGAAAACAAATTTGGCCATCATTTTAGAACAATAGAGGGTTGTCTCCCTTAGCTACAGGTGGGCACTACAGTATTGCAGATCAAGATTTGAAGTCTTACATCTGAGCAGCACTTTCTGATTCAGAACAAAATCATCAATGAGAAATAATTGTCTAAATAATTTTTTTTTACTTTTTATATGGACTTAATCCTAATGTCTGAGAATATCTGTTACTGTTTATTCTTCTTGTTTTGACCAGGTTTTGCAGCTACTCTGGATGATGATAAACCTTGGTACTCCATTTTCCCCATTGATAACGAAGATCTGGTATATGGACGCTGGGAGGACAATATCATTTGGGACGCTCAGGCCATGCCCCGGCTTTTGGAGCCTCCTGTTTTGACACTTGATCCTAATGATGAAAACCTGATTTTGGGTATGTTATTGGAAGAGACCAGGGTTCTTCATCTTTGACATCATACTACTAATGTCAAAGGTCAGGAGGAAATTAGAAAGATTAGGGAGGGCCAAAACTAGACACTTCTAGGTAATGGTTTTGAGAGAGCAGCATTGTGGCTGCCAGTTTCTAGTGTTTGAGTATTGTTTAGGGAAAACTCATATAGGAATGTGAAAAAGTAGTATCTTTAAGATTTCAGGCATATAGTTCAGCTAGTGAATCATTGACTTAAAAGCATTCTTTTTTTTTTTTTTTGTCTTTTTGAGACAGGGTCTCCCTGTAGCCCTAGCTCCCAGCTGACTTAGAACTTAGTATGTAGACTAGTTTGGCCTTGAACTGACAGAGCTCTTCCTGCCTCTGCCTCCTTAGTGCTGGAATTAAAGGCATGTACCACCACTCCCCGGCTACTAAAAGTATTTTGAAGTAGAGTGAGGGATCTACATAGAAACTCCAAAGATGTCAGTAGAAAATGATTTTTAGGTGGGCCACATGGCATGGGCTTGTAATACCAGCTACTTAGGATGCCACAGCATGAAGATTTTTAAGTTCAAGGCCTGTCTGGGCTCCAGAGTGTGTTCTAGGCCAGCCTTGGCAACTTAATGAGACCTCTCCAAAAATAATGCAAAAAGAGTGCAATAGGCCAGGGATAGAGCTCAGTGGTAGAGTGTTTGCCTAGCATGTGTGTGAGGCCTTAGGCTCAATCCTCAGTATTTCATAGAGGAGTGAGGGAATGAGGAGGGAGCAAGAGGCCAAAGAGACTAGAAGAGGGAGTCTGATCCCCTGAACTGTAGTTACAGACACTTGTGAGCTGCCATGTAGATGCTGAGAACTGAACCTGGATCCTCTGCAAGAGCAGTGAGTGCTTTTAACTGCTGAGCCATCTCTCCAGCTCCCCCACCCCAAGTCATTTCTTGTTACATCCTCAGAGATTCCTGATGAGAAGGAAGAAGCTACATCTAATTCTCCTTCCAAGGAGAATAAGAAAGAATCATCTCTGAAGAAGAGTCGAATTCTCTTAGGAAAAACAGGAGTTATCAAGGAAGAGCCACAGCAGGTTTGTGAAAACAAAGGGAATTGGTATTTAGAAGAAAAAGGAAGGTATTGGGAAAGGGTGGTCTGACCAAGGCTTATTTGATCCATCATTAGAACATGTCTCAGCCAGAAGTGAAAGATCCATGGAATCTCTCAAATGATGAGTATTACTATCCCAAGCAGCAGGGGCTTCGAGGTACTTTTGGAGGGAATATTATCCAGGTACAAATACCATTCTTTCTGTGGTGGAGGGGAAACCCTTGCTTTGTTTTAATGCCTGGGATGGAGTTAGTATTTACTTTTAATTCTTCTATTTTCTGTTTAGCACTCAATTCCAGCTGTAGAACTACGACAGCCCTTCTTTCCCACCCACATGGGACCCATCAAACTCCGGCAGTTCCATCGCCCACCTCTAAAAAAGTACTCCTTTGGGGCACTATCTCAGCCAGGTTCACACTCAGTTCAGCCTTTGCTAAAGCACATCAAAAAGAAGGCAAAGGTATAATTAAATTCTGGTTGGAAAAAAAGTTATATAAAATAATTGGGGTATAAATTGGGGAAATATACTGGCTATTAGATTATATTAAGGAATCATTTTCTCAGGTTGATACAATTTTATTTTGGTTATTTAAAAGCATGTCCTTATTCTTAGAAGATGTATGTTAAAATACTTGAAGGTAAAATATGATTGTACCTTTCAAAACTGGCTCACCAAAATTTATAGAAAATTAATTACACATAAATACGGAAAAATATAGGCCAGGCGTGGTGGTGCACACCTTTAGTCCCAGCACTCAGGAGGCAGAGGCAGGTGGATCTCTCTGAGACTGAGGCTAGCCTGTCTGCATAGTGAGTTCCAGGCCAGCTGGGGCTACAGGAAGACAACCTGTCTCAAAAAGGGGGCAGGGGATATAAACATTTATGTTTATGTAGGGGGATAAAGGATGCTCACAGTACTAGTCTCTCAATCTTAGTAATAAGATTAAAATTTTTTACAATGAAATTGAAAAAAATAACAAGGTAAAATACTTTTGGTGTTGTCTTAGTTTGGATTATATCAGTGTGTATAGTTATTTTCCTGTGGAAATGATCTATATTGTCTTTGTTCTGGACAGATGAGGGAACAAGAGAGGCAAGCCTCAGGTGGTGGAGAAATGTTTTTTATGCGCACACCTCATGACCTCACAGGCAAAGATGGAGACCTTATTCTTGCAGAATACAGTGAGGAAAATGGGCCATTAATGATGCAAGTTGGCATGGCAACCAAGATAAAAAATTACTATAAACGGGTGAGTCTGTGTCAGAGAAATCTTTGTTACTAACATAACTAAAGTTAGGGTTCCTAATATAACTAAAGTTAGGTGTATAGTAATAATCTAAAAACATTTTGTCATTTTATACATTTCTTGGGAGAAAGAAATTGTATCTGGTAGTTCATAGTAAATGCTATGCTTGTGGAATTTTGTATATAAGCTTATTGGTTATATTCTGTGATTATAACTGAGCTTGCTACATTTTCTATAGAAACCTGGAAAAGATCCTGGAGCCCCAGATTGCAAGTATGGGGAGACTGTTTACTGCCATACATCTCCTTTCCTGGGCTCTCTCCATCCTGGCCAGTTACTACAGGTGAATAATTCTTTCTTGTCTTTACTCTTTCCTAAAGAAATTGACAGATAAGGAACAAGTTTGTTCAGAAAGAACCAGTTTTTACTGTTCATGTAGCAGTGCTCAGGAGGCAGAGGCAGTGGATCTCTGAGTTTGAGACCAGCCTGTTTTGTGTAGAGTTCCAGACCAGCCAGGGCTATATAGTGAGACCCTATCTCAAAAAAATTAGTGTAATCCATTGGACATGGAAGGCAGGGGTTCAAAAGTTCAAATCCTTGGCTACATAGCAAATTTGAGGCCAGTCTGGACTATATGAACCCCTGTTTTAAAATAAAAAAAGACAATTGGTGGGGGTAGTGCTGAGAATATAGCTTAGTTTTCAGTGCTTGCCTAGCATGCATGAAGCCCTGGGTTTGATCCACAGTGCAACATAAAACTGGGCCTGGCAGTACATGCCTGTCATTTTAGCCCTTGGAAGGTAGATATAGAAGGATCAGAAATTCAGTGTTATCCTCAGTTATATGACAAATTTAAGGCCAGTCTGATATACATGAGACTTCTTATCAAAGCAAACAAACAAAAATATTATAATTCAAAAATTTTAAAGTTTTTTCTATAAAGCTGGAGATAGGGCTCAGCAGTTAAGAGCACTTGCTGCTCTTCCAGAGGACCTAAACTTGCTTCTCCGTACCTACATGGTGGCTAACAATCATCTAGTTGCAGGGGCGTTGCACATGCATGGTGCACTTACATACATGCAGACAAAACATTCATACACATAACATAAAAACAAAATATTTTTCAAGAAACATTTTTTCTTTCTTTCTTTTTGTTTTTTTTTTTTTTTTGAGATAGGGTCTCCCTGTATCCCCAGCTGACCTGGAACTCGCTGTGTAGACCAGGACCGGGCTGGCCTTGAACTCACAGAGATCTGCCTACCTCTGCCTCCGAGTGCTGGGACTAAAGGCATGCACCACCATGCCTAGCAAGAAACATTTTTTCTTAAAATAAGTCTTTGTTATTTTTAGGCCAAATATAAAATAGTGAGTTTTTTGTTTGGTTTTGTTTTTGTCTTTTTTGAGATAGGATCTCATTCTAGCACAAGCTGGCCTGGAACTTACTGTATAGCCTAGACTGGCCTCAAACTTGAGGTAGTCCTCAGCCTGGTGAGTGTTGAGATTGTAAATGTGAGCCACTATACCTGGTAATAAAATAGTTTTTTGAAATATACACTGGGTATAGTGGGGTATAGTGGTACATAATTGTAATCATAGTACTAGGGAGGCACAGGCAGGGGGGATCACAATTTTGAGGTCAGCTTGGGCATTTTATAGAAAGACCATGTCTCAAACATGAATAAAAAAATACACAGTGGTCAGTCGACCTAGGATTAATGTAGGTTATGAATGTTTTAAGTTCTTTGTGTAAAGTTAGAATATTTGAGTGGCTAGAGATAGAGCTCAGTGGTAGAATACTTGTATAGCATGTTCAAGGCCCTTGGTTTTGTCTCGTACTGCAAAAAACTTAGTACATTTTGATGATAATTAATTGTGGCCATCGTGAATATTGAATCATACTTGAATGTTGCTGTTCTGTCACAGTAAAGTGCTGCTTTTTCCCCCTTTGTTCTAATGGGTATAGAGAGGCATGCTGGCAGTAGCTTTTAAGTATTTGAAGGGAAGTATAAATGTCCACAAATGGTGTGAAACAATCTCTCAAACTACTTTTTATTTTTTTTCCATTTCATATCTCTTGCTAATTTTTTTCTTCTTTCCTTCCTTCTTTTTTTTAGACAATCTTACTCTGTAATCTAGAGTGTGGTCTGGAACTTCCTATATAAATGAGGCTGGCCTTGAACTTGTGGCAATCCTCCTGGCTCTGCCTCTCAAGTGCTAGGATTGCAGCTGTGTGCCACAAGGTCCAGCTGTTAGCAGTCTGTACTCTTGTCCCTAATTTATTCCACTGTCATTATTGCTAGCTCTTCTTACTGTCACTATTGCTAGAATCTGCAAAATCCATTTATATTTTTGTCATTTGCACCTGTATTCCATTTCCCACTAGTTTTGGGGGGGGATGTTATTGCTGTTGATTGAACTCAGGGCCTTGTGTATGCAAGGGATATGCTCTGCCACTGAGCTCTATACCCTTAACCCCTCCTTCACACCAGATTTTATTTTCTTTGTACTGTTCTTAACTTTCCTGTTTTGTAACTTTCTGTTGAGGTTCGTTTTATTTATTTTTTAAACCAATACATCCCCTTCTTTTATGACTACTTTTGTCTTTTTACATTTATTGGATCATGTGTATCCCTGCGGGTGCATGTGTGTATGTGTATGTATGTATGGGGAGGCGTCACATGACGAATGTGTGGAGGTCAGAGGATAACTTGTGGGAGTCATTTCTCTCCTTCTACCATGTGGGCTCTGGGGATCAATTTCAGGTCATTAGAGTTGGTGGCAAGCACCATTACCTGTTGAACTATCATAGTGGCCCTGTGGGGTTTTTTTTTCAGTAGTGACTTTTTTTTTGTCTTTTTGAGACAGAATCTCCCGTATAGCCCCAGCTGGCCTGGAACTTGATATGCAGACCAGGCTGGCCTCAAACTCACAGAGATCTGCCTACCTCTGCCTCCCAAGTGCTGGCATTACAGGCGTGCACTACCATGCCTGGCTAGCCCTGTGTTTTTTTAAAAAATTATTTTTAAATTTCTTTTGAGATGTGGGGAGGGTGTCTCATATAGTCCAAGCTGGCATTGAACTGATTGTGATGCTTCTACTTTCCAAGTGCTGGGATTATAAATGTGTACCACAATGGCCAATTTCTTTGTAGTTTTCTTGTGTGTGTGGGTGGGGTTGTATGTGTGATACATGCACATGAGTGTGTGGGTATGTGTCCATGTGCATGCAGAAGCCAGGTAGGATATCCTGTGTCTTCCTGTATCACTGTCCACTTTATAAGTCTAGAGACAGGGTCTCACTGACCCAGAAGCTTGATGTTTTAGGTAGGTTGGCTGGCCAGTGAACTTTTGGGATCCACCTGTCTCCAACCCTTAATGCTGAGGTTACAGGCACATGCAGTCATGCCCTACTTTTTATGTGGGTGCTAGGGATTCAAACTCAGGTCCTCATGCTTGCAGAGTAAGCACTTTTCATCAGTGAGCCATCTTCCCACCTCCACTTTTTTAGTTTTTAAAAGATTATTTGTAGGGCCAGTGAGATGAACCAGCAGGTAAAGGTGTTTGCCACCAAACTTGGCAATCAATTTAATCCCCAAGACACACATGGCAGGAGAGAGCTCTCTCAACAAGTTGCCCTCTGACCTCTGCATGTGCTTCATGGCACATGTGCCCCACACATATACAAAATAAACAATATAATAAAAAATGGTCATTTGCTATTTTCTATAATTCCTTTTCTATGTACATGGAACATTTACAATTTACTTTCTTCACCCATGTGATGGTCTTCCCCCTTTTGTTCATTGTTAGGATTAAAAAAATTATTTAGCTTTTGAAGGGCAGAGATCCTGTCTGCAGATGTGTTTCCTCTTCATTTGCTGTTGCAACCAATAAAGCTGTTTGAACCCCACAAAAATTATTTTGCCTACATGTATGACATGTACCCAGGTGTGCAGTGCCTGTAGAGGCCAGAAGAAGGTGTCACATCCCCTGGAAATGGAGTTATAGACAGTTGTTATCCACCATATGGGTACTGGGAATTGAAACTGGGTCCTCTGCGAGAGCAGCCAGTGCTCTAAACCATCTTTCCAGCCCTCAAAACATTTATTTTCAGTTAAAAATTAAAAGAAAAAAAATATATGAGTGTTTTGCCTATATGTATGTAAGTGCACCACGTGAGGCCAGAAGAGGGGTGTTGGATCCCCTGGAACTAGAGTTACAGACAGTTGTTAGCCTCCATGTATGTGCTGGGAATCAAACCCAGGTCCTCAGAAGAACAGCAACAGGCATTTGAGTACCACCTGACTAGAATCCAAACTCCAGTCCTCATGTTAGAGTAGCAAGTACTCTTGGCATTTTTTGTGGAGGGAGGCTACTTTTCCTTAGCTTCAAAGCTTAAAATAGAGACCAGAAGTGACATACACCTTTAATCCCAGCACTTGGGAGGCAGAGGCAGGCCTGTTCTATATGGTAAATTCCAGGTCATCCAGGGTGACATAATGAACCCTGTCTCAAAAACAAACAAAAAAACAAAACACACTCGCCCTGAAGCTCAAAATAGTTGATCCCTATCCATTCTACTTCAACTAGCTCAAATATTTCTATCTAACTATCCTGATGTGTTTTTGTTTATTCTGTCTTTGAGACAGGGTCTTCCTGTAGCCCCAGCTGGCCTCAGACTCACTATGTAGACCAGGCTGGCCTTGAACTCGCAGAGATCTGCCTGCCTCCTCAAGTGCTGGGATTGAGGGCATACGCCACCACGCCCGGCTATTCTGTTCTTTTAGAATACTTTTTACTTCATTGTTTTTATTTTTTTAATTAATTTATTCAAAAAAATATTTTGAAGCCCGGAATAGTGGTGGTATGCCTATAATCCCAGTACTCATCAGACTGAGACAGGAGAATTGCTATGAGTTTGAGGCCAGTGTGGGCTCCAGTGAGACCTTGTCTCAAAAAATTGTTTTGGTCTCATCTCTTATATGTCAGGCACTAAGCTAGGATCTAGGGTAGGAGTATAAGAGTATATTATCTTTGAGTTTATAAAGCTATTTGTAGAAGTCCTATAAAGTATAGGCAATTTTTTGAGCCAGATCTCTCTATGTAATCTTAGCTGGCCTGTAACTCATTATTGTAGAACCAAGTTGGCCTCTGACTTACAAGGATCCACTTGCCTCTGCTTCCCAAAAGCCCAGATTAAAGATACGCACCACCACACCTGGCAAGTATAGGTGTTTTGAGTAGCTTGCATTTTGTAGATGAAGAAATTTAAGCTGAGACATTGGCTTGACTGACTTCATACAAAATGACAAGGCCAGCTTCTAAATCTAAACCCTGTATTTTCTTCTTGTTCTTGAGAAAAAGTTTCACATAGTCTATGTTGGCCTCAAATTTGCTATTGTAGCCAAGGATGACCTTGAACTTTGGTCTTCCTACCTTCACCTCCCAAATGTTGGGATTACATTTCAAATATTGACTAGTTTTAAATTTTTTATTTGTGTATGTGTGTAGCTTATATGCCTGTGGAGGCCAGAGGTCATTGTTTGGTGTCTTCCTCTATTGCTCTCTGCCTTATTTTTTGAGATAGGGTCTCTCACTGATCCTGGAGCTGGTGGTTTTGTCTGGACTAGTTGGCCAGCAAGCCCCTGAAATCTGCCAGTCTCCCCTGCTCTTCTCCCCTACTGCCAGGACTGCTGGCGCCCTTTCTGTGCTCAGCATTTTATGAGGGCACTGGGGATCCAAACTCAGGGTTTCATGCTTGTGTAACAACCACTTTATCTGCTGTGCCATCTCCTCAGCTCCATTTTGGTTTTTTGAGACAGGATCTCATGCAACCCAGGCTGGCCTCAAATTTACTGTGTAGCCAAGGCTGGCCTTGAACTCTTGTTCTTCTGCTTCTACCTAACAAATGCTGGGATTACCATGCCCAGCTCTGATTCAGTTTTCTTTTAGATATAATCTTATGCTGTCACCTAGGTTAGCCTTGAACTTGCCATGATTCAAAAGGATCATGAGGTAAAAACCTCAGCCTCCTGAGCTCTGGGATTACAAACATGCATTACCATTCTTGTCTCTATTTTTGCATTTTTTGTATCTTTTTCATCTATTGGATTCTAAAAGACAGTGGATAAAAAATTAATTTTGTTTGATATTCCACATAACTTGCTTATTTTATTGAATAGACTTTAAATTTAATGAATATAGAGAGTAGTAAGTTTCATTTTCCTTAGTTGCTGACTGAATTTTCTAGGGCCTCTCTGAGTATAACTTTTGTGGTTTTATATTTGCTAGGCATTTGAGAACAACCTTTTTCGTGCTCCAATTTATCTTCATAAGGTGCCAGAAACTGATTTCCTGATCATCCGAACAAGACAGGGCTACTATATTCGGGAACTAGTGGATATTTTTGTGGTTGGCCAGCAGTGTCCCTTGTTTGAAGTTCCTGGTCCTAATTCCAAAAGGGCCAATACACACATTCGAGATTTTCTGCAGGTAGGTGGGAATTGGGTCAGGATGCCATCACAAGCATGTTAGGAAAGAAGAAAATGCATATCAGCTTGGCTGGGGATGGGACTCTGCTGAGGATTTTTATCCTTTATCTAATAAAATGTATCTGGGTTACTGGACAGGTTTTTATTTATCGCCTCTTTTGGAAGAGTAGAGATAGACCACGGCGAATCCGAATGGAGGATATAAAGAAAGCCTTTCCTTCACATTCTGAAAGCAGCATCCGCAAGAGGCTAAAGCTCTGCGCTGACTTCAAACGTACAGGTTATCAGTGTGATTAGTTGTCTTCTCTGTAATCCTCTGTAATGGAGGCTTCCATTGCTTTTTTTGATAACTGGTTGCTAGGAAATTCAGTGTGATTGTTTGCATGTGTTACATGAGATGTAGGAAGCCTGGCAGTAGGGGGTTTCTTGACTAGTCATAGTCTTCACTGGGCCTGTTACTATCTAGTATGTTGCTTTGTTCAGTGTCTGTTTGCTCTCTTGTTACTCTTGGTCCTTTAGAATTCAGAACAGTTTCTCTATCTTCCAGGGATGGATTCAAACTGGTGGGTCCTGAAATCTGATTTTCGTTTACCAACGGAAGAGGAGATCAGAGCTATGGTATCACCAGAGCAGTGCTGTGCTTATTATAGCATGATAGCTGCAGAGCAGAGACTAAAGGTGAGCTGCTTCTTGTTGTGTGCTGCTTATGCTTGTGGTTCTTTTCAGATAGAAAGATGAAAATACTCTCAGGCTTAGAGATGATGGTTACTAGATCATTACCAATTACTAATCAGTTCAAACTGTATGAGGTACTTTCTGTATGTATCAATTCTGGGGAAAACTACAGTGTAACTATCAGTGTGAGGCTCAGTGAGGGACTTGGGCCATATTTTCTTGCTTTAAAAATGATTGCTCATGGGGGCTGGAGAGATGGCTCAGCAAAGAGCACTGACTTTTCTTGTAGTGGACCCAGGATTCAATTCCAAGCACCCATATGGCAGCTAACAACTATCCATAACTACAGTTCCAGGGATCCGATACCCTCTTCTGACCTCTGCAGGCATTGCACGACACAGATGTAGTTACATACATTCAGGCAATACACATAAAATAAAAATATAAATAATAGCTGGGCGTGGTGCCATATGCCTTTAATTCCCAGCACTTGCGAGGCAGAGGCAGGTGAATCTCTGTGAGTTCAAGGCCAGCCTGGTCTACATAGCGGGTTCCAGGCCAGCTGGGGTTACAGGGAAACCCTGTCTTGACCAGCGCACACACACACACACACACACACACACACACACACACACACGTATATAATATTTTAAAAAGTAATTGCTCATCCATTTGAGTGGTGACTCCTTTGCATAAACAAGCGAGAAAGTACTTGTCAGCTTCCCAGTTGGGCAGAGGTGATAGTTGGAAGTGTGCTTTAGAGATGCACAGCTGAAATAGAAAAACTCCAGCTGGGAAGTACCAATAGCTTAAGGATGTACAATGGTGATACATACACAGAAAACTTTATAGACTCCATTCTTTATGCAGAATATGCTTTAGTATTTTGTATTTGGTATTCAGTAAAATTTATACTTTGTGTTTTTTCGTTGACTTTATTTATGCATAGGATTGTCCTCTTTCAGGATGCTGGCTATGGAGAGAAATCCTTCTTTGCTCCTGAAGAAGAAAATGAAGAAGATTTTCAGATGAAGATTGATGATGAAGTAAAGATTTTGTTTGAGACAAGATCTTGCTCCACAACCTATTCCGACCTGAAACTTAAAAAAATCCTCCTGCCTCTGCCTCCCAAGTGATGAGAGTATAGACCCATACCACTATGTCCAGCAATACTTTTTTTCTTAATTAGAAAATTTTTAGGGATTTATTTGTTCATGTGTATATGTGCACATATATGTATGCCTGTATTAGAGTCCAGAAAAGAACATTGTATCCCTCAGAACTGTAGTGGCACTTGCAGATGCAGGGATTGTTACATGTGTGCTTGGATCTGAATTCCGTTCCTCATGATTGTACAGTTGACACTGAGTCATCTCTCCAGCCCAAATGATGTTTTTGAGACAAGGTCTCACTGTATATCCCTGACTGGCCTGAAACTCTTATATAGACCAAGCTGGCCCCAAACTCACAGAGATCTGCCTGTCTCTGCCTCCCAAGTGCTTGGATTAAAAAAAGATGTGTGCCCCCACATCTGGCCTGCAGCACTTACTATTTATCAGCACATCTCATCTCCTTTAAAGAACATTTTGGGTCTGGAGAGATAGCTCAGCAGGTAAAGATACTTGCTGCCAAGCTTGATGACCTGAGCTTGATCTCTTGGATCTATATGGTAGAAGAAGAAGAATTATTCCCTCAAGTTGTCCTTTGAATATGACAGATGCACTGTGGCACACACAAAATCAATACATTCATTAAAAAAAGTTTTGTAAGTTTTGAGTTAAATTGACATTTAAATTGCTGCACTGGGCTAGGGAGATGGCTCAGTCAGTAAAGTGGCTGCCACACAAGTATGAGGACCTGAGTTTGAATCCCCAGCACCCACATAAAAAGCTGGGCATGGCAACACATACCTATGTATTCTATTTTTTTTTTAATTGTGGTAAAATTGTGTGGTAGCTCATGCCCATTATCAGAGCATTTTGGAGAGTGAGACAGGAAGATTGGCCATAGATTTGAGGCCAGCCTAGGCTAAAGAGTGGAACCCAATCTCAAAACAACTCCTCCCAAATAAATATGTAAATTAAAGATAAAAACTGATGGTAAAGTATGTATAATATAAAATCTATCATTATAATGTTTAAGACTACATATGCCTGAAATCCATGTACTATTAAAGATTAATTTTATTTTTATGTGTCTAAGTATTTTGCATATACATACACATATGCATTTATATATACATGTATATGCACCACATTTCTGCCTGGTGCTCATCAAGGCCAGAAGAGGGCATTGGATCCTCTAGAACTTGACTCACAGATGGTTGTAAGCTGCCATGTGGGTGCTGGGAACTAAACCCCAGTCCCCTGCTAGAGCAAGTGTTGTTAACTGCTGTGCCATCTCTCTAGTCCCATTATTATTATTATTATTATTATTATCATTTTATTATTTTGTTATTTTGAGACTTGGTCTCCCTGTAGCCCTAGCTGACCTGGAACTCACTATGTAGAACAGACTGTTCTAGATCTTGCAGAGTCCCACTTTCTTCTGCCTCCCAAGTGCTAGAATTAAAGGCATGTGCCACCATATCTGGCTAGCCTCTATTATCTTTTTAGAAAATTATTTGTGTGTATGTCACATGTGTGCAGGTATCTGCAGAGGCCAGGAGCCATTAGATTCTCTGGTATTGGAGTATAGGCAGTTATGAACTTAACGGACATGGGTGTTGGGAACTGTACTCTGGTCCTCTGGAAGCATGCACTTATAACTGCTAAGCTATCTCTCCAAACCCTATTGTTAATATATTTTGTTTGAGACAGGGTCTCCCTCTAGCCCCAGCTGGCCAGGAACTCCCTATGTAAACTAGGTTGGCCTTGATCTCCCAGAGATCTCTCTGCCTCTGCCTCTTGACTGCTGAGATTAAAGGTGTTTGCTACCATGCCCAGTTTAAGATTGAATCTTGAATAAAGAATTGGTTAAGTTTTTAGGCCAGTTGTACACATCCTTTTTGCTATTTATTTATTTTTGAGACATTTTCGTACTGTAGAACCATGGCTGGCCTGGAGCTCAATATGTAGATCAGGCTGACCTTGAATTGGCTTTATTATTTTTTTAAGATTAATTTTATTTTATATACGTGTGTGTGTCTGTGTGAGCATATGCCATGTGTTCCTCGAGAAGGCCAGAAGTCAGATCCTCTGGAACTAGGTTCCAGATGGTTGTGAGCTGCCCAATGTGGATGCTGGGAACTAAATTCCTATCTTCTGGAAGAATAGCAAGCACTCTTAATTGCTGAGCCACCTTTCCAACCCCCAAGTTATATACATTCTTAACTCATCTTTGTGGGCAAATACATCCACCTTTTGTCTTAATTTTTTTTCAGGATAGGTAAGCATCTTTTAAATACCTTTAGAACAAACCACTGACAGGGTTGGATGGGCTTTTTGTCCTGCCAGAATTGGGGGTTTGGTAATGTAAAGATCTATTTTGAGAATGTATGCTATTCTAAACATTTGAGGGACTGAGGATGTGGCTCAGTAGGTAGCATGCTCAATCCTCAACAACTAATAAGCTGGATGTAGTAGCATATTACCTGTTAATCCCACCATTTAGGAGGCAGGAGGATCCAACGTTCAAGGTCATGCTCAACTACATAAGGAGTTCCAGGCCAACCTGGGTTAGAGATCCTATTGCAAAAAAAAAAAGAAGAAAGAAACAAAGGAGTTTTTGAACAATTGGGTAATCAAACGAGGTTGTCTTTCTCTCTTTGAGCATCATGAAAGTAGATACAACACTGCCTTTGAGAACCTAGGGATATTGGACTGAAGAATACCACTCTTTCTCATATTCCTTATCCTGTTTGCACTCTTGGCCGCTATTTAATATCAAGATTTAATAGAAGAGAGCTGAGTATTGAATAATTAAGTATGGCTATATTTAATTTGATATTTGGATAAGAAATAGTGAAAATTTTTCTGCCCTTTTAAGTAATGGCTAGGTATGGAACACATGTTTCCCACAGCCCTGAAATCTTTTTCTGTATCTCAGGTTCGCACTGCTCCTTGGAATACCACGAGAGCTTTTATTGCTGCTATGAAAGGCAAATGTCTCCTTGAGGTCACTGGAGTGGCAGATCCTACAGGCTGTGGTGAAGGATTCTCATATGTGAAGATTCCCAACAAACCAACACAGCAGAAGGTGAGATTAGAGAGGAGGGCCTGGAAACCCTGGATTTGTCAGAATGGCATAGATGCCTACTGTATGGAGTTTGGTTAAAGATACTCACTTGTTTTTGTTTGAGACAGGATGATAAGGAGCCTCAGCCAGTAAAGAAGACAGTCACAGGAACGGATGCAGACCTTCGTCGCCTGTCCCTGAAAAATGCCAAGCAACTTCTTCGTAAATTTGGTGTGCCTGAGGAAGAGGTGGGTATGGAAGAGGAGAACTCCTAGAAGCTTTGTACATTGGTAGAAAGGGTAGGAAGGTATAAAGAACTATCTGGAGTATTTCTCTATGGTATAGATCATGGCAGGTATTAAATACTTTTTCAAAGTTTTCTGTTTTATCTTCTTTGAAATACATTTTTCCCTTTTTTTGTCTGTGTCTCATGGGCCTGGTTTGCCTGTTTTTTGGGTTGTTTTGTTTTTATCTCCTTTGAAATACATTTTTTTCCCTTTTTTGTCTGTGTTTTGTGGGCCTGGTTTGCCTGGTTTTTTGGGTTGTTTTGTTTTGAGACAGGGTCTCCCTCTAGTCCCAGCTGGTCTGAAACTCAGTTTTGTGTGTGTGTGTGTGTGTATGTGTGTTGGGGGGGGATCTTTTTGAGACAGGGTCTCCCTGTAGTCCCAGCTGTCCTGGAACTCACTATGTAGACCAGGCTGGTCTTGAACTCACAGAAATCCGCTGCCTCTGCCTCCTGAGTGCTGGGATTAAAGGCGTGCGCCACCATGGAACTCAATTTTTAAAATATTATTATTTCTATTTTATGTGTATGCCTGTATTGCCTGCATGTAGGTAAGTGCACCTGTGTCGTGCAATGCCCATGGGGAACAGAAGAGACTGTCAGATCCCCTGGAACTGGAACAGTTGTTAGCTGCCATGTGGGTTCTGGGATTCGAACCCAGGTCTTCTGCAAGAACAATCAGCGTTCTTAACCACTGAGCCATCTCTCCAGCCAGGAACTCAATTTTTAGACCAGGCTGGCCTCAATCTCACTAAGATCTGCCTGCCTCTGCCTCTCAAATGCTGGGATTAAAGGCATGCGCCACCATGCCTGGCTTTCCTAGGTGATTCTGACTGCAGTCAGGTTGATACTGAAGATAAACTATCAGTCAAGGGACAGGATTTCTTGGGGTCCTTTTCCCAGCCTGCTCCCAGTTGTTGGAGGCTCAGCAAGGGGCATTTTCTACCCCAGGACCCCCTCGGTCGCCCCTGTTGCCAGTGCTGTTCGCACTTGGAGGTCTGCTGCTGCTTTCCAATGCCTCCTGTGTTGGTGGACTCTTATGGCGGCGGAGACTAAGGCGCCTTGCTGAGGGTGAGGAGAGACCTTCTCCCTGTCAGATGGGGACCCTGGGGATGCTACCCAAGGCCTATGTGGGCTTGAACAGAATCTCTGACCCCCTTTTCCCTGTTTCTTTCAGAAATATCAGAGAAGACAGAGGCAGGGTAAGAATATTCTTCTGCCAAGAAGGCTCTGAGGGAGGAGGTTTGGGTATGGGTGGCAGAGAGTCAACACCCACTTTCATCCACACATCCATTCTGGAAGATCGGAGGAGGACCGAGTGAAGAATGAATATGAAGAGAGTCAGTGGACTGGGGACCGGGACACTAGAAGCTCCACGGTGAGTGGGGGTGGTCAGCTTCAGTTAATTGTCCTTTCCTGGAACTGGGAGTTGAGGGATGGAAAGGAGTTTATCTGCTGTTTTGTGCTTGTGTGTGTGTGTGTGTGTGATGTGTGTTCATGCATGTGCACCTGTGTACATGTGTGTGCATGTGTGTTCATGTGTGTGACAGGTTAGCACAGCAGAAGTGGAGCCATATTACCACTCATGAGGGACTTCAGTCCTCGGCTGCCCCCCACCCTGGAGGAGGTGTCTTATCCTCAAGGTGAGTCACAATCACACCCGGATGCTCCACCCCCATTTGGAGGTAACCCTGACAGCTGGATTGGGTCCCCCATTGTCTTTTCTTCTGTACTGTATTAGTTGCTTCTGTTCTACTATGACCAAAATTCCAGATAGAACTTAAGGGAGGATAAATTTATTCTGACTCACTCAGAGAGTTCTGTCCGTTGGCTGCATATGTGCATTGCAGAGGAAAGATGCTCACTTCGTAGTGGATAGGAACAGAGAGTGAGCCAAACAGGAACAGGCCAGAGGCAAGAAACCCTCAAGGACATGTCCCAGTGACCGATTTCCTCCAGCTACACATGCTGTCCACTAAAGCTTCCAGAACCTCCTAGGTGGACCAAGTCCCTAGGACCTGAGCCTTGGGGGAGATACTTCCCATTCAAACCCTAACATACTCCAACTTCACACTTTGCAGGTATTGAAGATGAGGACTTGGCCTTCCCTAGACACATGTATGATGAGGTGGAGAGAGCCTATGGCCCATCTGGGGCCTGGAGACCCCTCTATGATGAAGTACAAATGGTGAGATTCTTATCACCAGCTTGTCCAGGCTGAAAACCCACTACCTACTGCTTGTATCAGTTAGGGTAAACAAGCTGTTGTGACAAAGAGGCCCATCTTCAATGCAGTAACTAAAAGAACTAAAGTGGTACATCTAGAGCCAGGCACAGTAGCCTGTGCCAGTAATCACAGCACCCAGGAGGCTGAGGAAGAAGCATTGTGAGTTCCAAGCCAGCCTTGGCTACATAGCGAGACTCTATCTCAACAAAATCCAACAAAACAAAACAAAAAGTGTGACTTATCGTGTGGCCTAACCAGTGCTCCAGAGTCTCTGGGCTGAGCTTCGCTCTAGAACTGCTCATCCCTGGCGTGGTTCTCAGGTTCTCTGAGCCCATCCTCAAAGAAGCGCAGCCGGGGCGCTGTCCATGGTTCTGGAGCACAAATGGACTATGGGAAATGTCCTGCATGGGGTCAGGACAGCAAATATTTTGGGCTTTCTGAGACATATGGTCTTCCTCAAAACTGCTCATCCCTGTCATCATATGGTAGAAGCAGTCACAGCACACAAATGAGGCTGTATTCCAATGAAACTATATTTGGATGCTGAGTTTTGGATTTAATTTAATTTTCATACACCACAAATACTGTCTTTCTTCAATTTTTCTCTGACAATTTATAAATATAAACTTATTTTTAGCTCTTGGGTGATACAA